TGGGAGTGGGGAGCAGGTGGCTGATCATTGTGCCTTTGTCCCCACAAGCTCCAGCTTCCCAAGCACTGAGCAGGGCAAGAGGGTTGTTCATCCTTGGCTTGAATTCTCGGCTGTGCTCCTACAGCCTCCATTGACACTCCTACAGGCCCAGGACTCCCTAGTTCTGGTCTGGAGAACCAGTATTTCTTGTCCCCAGCAAGGAGCAGAGGCACTCAGGGACCTGAGATGCCAGAGGTGGGTCACAGCCAGGAGCAGCAGCTGCTCCTCACGTGCGCTCAACCACGCTCTCCTTTTACCTTCCCCGTCCACGTTAGCCTCCCGGCCTTTGGTAGGAACTGTATTCTCCTTGCTTAAACTTTTGTTTGGGGGTGTTTTTCCACAAGGAAAGGGCATGGACCCTTTCACTGTCTCTCTTTGAGCTTTGTCTTGGTGTATTTATCTCACGATGCTTCTCAGCACTCAAACAGTATGTCAAGTCATTGTTCTCACCTCATTTTGAAAGTGGCCAAGATCTTTGAGGTGTTCTATTACAGAGGCCTTTGTGGGTAACAAGAAGTGGGAAGATCAGCAATCAAGAAAGATAAACTCATGCCATTCACAGCACCGTGGATGAAGCTAGAAGAATTACACTCAGTGAAATAAGTCAGAAGAAAAAAAGCAAAATATGTAATGGTTTCACTTATAGGAGGATTATAGGGAAACCAAATAAGACATCAGTGTAAAAAAATAATAACAGTACAAAACACAACAAAGCAAAAACAGACAATTATAAATCAGAGACATACTGTAGGGGAGGAGGAGGGAGAGGGATCAGAGGGAGGGAGGGAGGCTCACAGGGGGCTGAGGTGATGGTGCAGGGTGCATTGGTGAAAGAAATTCTATGGAGACTACACCTGGGGGGGAGCAAATATTGTTTAAAAATTAACAATGATGGAAAAAATTAAAAAATAAATTTAAAAAACAAGATGTGGGAAGGCACCTCTTGAAAGGTAACAGGAATCAAGGGGAATAAATCCCCTGGGTGAAAATGGAATTCTATCATGGTGTGTGTGTGTGTTGGGCTCGGGGAGATGTGCACACACAACCTTGGCTGAAGTTGACTCCAAAGCCGCAGGTCAGATTGGCGTCCAGACCTGGGAGTGGGGGCGCCGGGCAGGCCAGGTGCAGGGGACCCAGAGCCAGCAGAGTCTGACCCCACAGTGTGGCCTCCACACCCAGAACTGAGTGTCTCTGTGGTCACCGAGACCTTGGATATCAAGGATGTGGCAGTGACCGTGATGTCTGGGCTGGAGGCACCACCTGAGTCTCCCTGGTGTGATTTCAGGAAGAAAAGGAACTGTGCTGTGTCTTCCATCTCAGCGTTCAGACTGTACCTTACACCCCAAAGCAGTCTGTCCAGTCCTGCTACAGACTCTCCCTGCTTCCTCGCAGGGGGCTATGGCTCAGGTGGGCAGCAAGGGTGTGAGACCGGGAACCGGGTTACCATGCAAGACCAGGACACTGGCTCAAAGACTGACCATGTTTCACTAACCCAAGTTTATTCTAAAATCCCTGCATTAAGTGACTTTTCTCTTGAGAGTTCCTTTTCCATGTCCACCGTGGGAATCCCCCAAGATACTGAGAATAAGGTGATACAGGGCATATCTAGTTTCTGAGGAAGCAACTGGTATACAAAAAACATCAGGAAATACTAATTCCCTCTCTGTTCCTCTGCCCCCTTCTGTCCCTGCTCTAGAAGCACAGGAGGAATCTCATCAGGTCCCTGACAGTCTGCACTTGGGATAGTCACAGGTGGGGTGCAGTGGGTGCAGCCCTCCTCTCCAGGACACACCTCCGGTCCCCTCTGCTCTCCTGACTGGGTTGGGAAGCCACACACCTCCCCAACACTCTCTGATGGAAATTCTCAGAGCTCAAGGCTGAGACCTCCTAGACTGGGTCTCAAGTGAGCTTTTCCATATCTCCTGCCAAGCTTGCCTGTCAGGTAGGAAACACATCAGAGGAGAGGGGCAGGTCCACCCTCCCCCCCACTCTACCTGCGTGAGCTGCATTCTGGAGGAGCAGCGTTAGGGGTGTGGACTCCAGAGGCAATGCTCAGATATTCTCCTTGCATCCATCTTCTCCTGGCTAGCACATGGTATAGAGGACGCAGGAGTGATGCCCAGGTGGGGACAGTTATTTTGAATGAGAGGTGCTCTCTCCTTGTAAAGAGGAACCCAGTTTCTTAATGGGGTTTACATGCCTCTCCATGTCCCCGAGGACATCAGCACACTTAGACGAACACACTGGCTTCTCAACTCTCATTAGCTCTAAAATACCCAGACAGGAGAGCCAGGCCTCTAATCCCACTGGAGCACATTCAGGAGACAGCGGGAGGACCTCGGCTTCATCCTGAGGCTGGCAGCTAAGGACGCATCAGGCAGCTGGTGTGTGGCCTCCTGCTCTCCCACCCTCACTCTGTCTTACACTCGCCCTCCAGGCTGTGTGCCCATGCAGTTCGCCCCAGACCCTGTCACGTCCCACTGACAGGCAGGCGTAAGGCCTAAGACAGGGACATTGGCGACACTTGCATGTATGGAGGACTCTCCACACTGCAGACACAGAGCAGCAGGCCATCTCCCCAGGAAGGGGCAGAGGACAATGGGGATTACACCTGAAGGGGCTCAGAGACTCCCACTGGGAAGAGGAGGAAATTCAGGGGGGAGGTACAGGGAGTAACAGGACAAGGGGTGTGGACTTGGTGCCCCCACACTGTGCACCCCATCATGGTGATGGTAACGCTGATGTCCTGTGTACTTTACCACAATAACATGTAGTCACAAAACGCGAGACTCCTCTGTGCCCAGAAGACACTAAGTGCTCATGATCAAGAAGTTGCTGGAGAAAGTGGGCAGCGACCTCCTTGCACTCCCACGCCTGCTTGGAGCAACTTCTCCTTCAGCTACTGGAGTGTCTGCAAGGAGAAAAGGCACCATGTCTGTCTCTGTTCACCCCCTGGCAGCCCCACCTCACCCTCCCGCTTTGAACATGGTTCTGAAGCAGAACCCTGGTGTGAGCTCAGCCCAGTGGGGCATCTGAAGGGGCGCAGCTAGACTGGGAGGAAGAGCTCTGGGGGAAGGGCCGGGGTGGGGCACCCTGCCCATTTCCATGCTCCTTTGTCTGACTTTGAGATCACTGAGCTTCCTAATGTCCACATTTATGATTTGGGTTTGTTTCATAAAAATTGAAACTTTTCAGTCATTGATGCCTTCCATGCTTTACTATTTTGTTCCCCCTCATCTTCTTGGTCTCAATATACATCTGTGCATTATTCCAATTCTCCGGGCTTCATGCACTTTCCAATTTTTTCTTTCTATTACTGAAAAGTACAGAGAAATTACAAATTCATTCATGAAGACCACAGACCAGCTGCGTCTCCCGACACGTTGGCTAAGCTCAGGTCTGGGCCTCTGTCCCAGGTCAGAGCAGCTGAATCACGGGCAGCCGAGACAGGGGGATCAGGGATTGGGCCGGTGTCACATGCACACATGGCTGCCCCGGAGGGTGGGCCTAAGCCTGTGAGTGGTTCCTCCTGCCTTCCCCTGAGCCTGTTGGGTGGAGGGGGAACCCCAGGTTGTGTCCCAAGAGTTCAAGGAAATTTCTCTATCAGAAAAAGTGATAGTGCTGCCCAGCAGATTAGAGTCAACAATGGAAACAGTGAAAAATCCTTGTGGTTTGTGATAAGATGCCTTCAAAGGATAACCAATGGCTCGAGGTCAAAATTACATGCGATCATCATTAATTATCTAAGTTGCCAAAATCTCACAAATAAGATCACTGGGTATTTAACTCACTGTGCCCAACACAGTTACTTAATGACTCACCCCAGCATTGCTGAACACACTTGGGGTTTGCAACTTGGGGGTAGGAGGAAACAAAAGCCATCAAAAGAACAGGACATGACAAGCCATTAACACACAGTCACGCCTGGGACAGGAACCAGAAAAAGAAGACACTTTTACATGTTTCCGCTTCTGGTAATCAGGAGATGCAAAAAAAAAAAATTATATCCAGGTTAGAGATCATGGTGTTCTCCAACCTATATTAATTTAGGAAAGAACACAGGCAAGTAATGTAAACTGTATGGTGATTGCCACATCCAAAAAGTTTCATAGCTTGAAATGTTTCCAGGCAACAGCTGACAGTGCTCAAGCACCTGTTCAGAGACTTGGGGTCCTCACCTGAAGTGGGGGCTCAGGGTCAGAGCCTTAGCCCACATCATGACATTCACAGAGTCTCAGCCAGTGACAGAAGTGACCTGGGACACATAGAATGACTGAAAAAGTTGCTTCTACTCCTCAGTCTCTCCCTCTATTTCCAAAACTACTTTCATAAGGGACTTTACACCTTTGACCTAGCAACAAGTTCAGAGCAACACTGACCTTAGGATGATCCTGGCCTGGCCCACACACGAGCTCAAGTAGAGTCTCTGTTCCTCACCCACCCCAGCAGTTTCTGCTTGTCTGAACTTACCAACACATGATCGATGACCAGGCTCTTGACTACGTGTTTCAGTAGACACCACTGCCTCCTTCTGTTGCATAGAAATAACTCTTAGGTTATCACCATAGTAGTTTACATGGTAGGATTGAACGGGCGCTCTCATCTTAAGAAGCATTTGCCTAAACACAAATTTAGGCGACTGGTCATATTCCATCAATAGAGGGTCTGTGTTAGAGTTGGGGGTCAACCTGCAGGCAATGTCCATTCCCCAAGCCCCAGTTCAGGGTCTTCTCCTCCTGGGCGAGGTCACACCTCCATGGCCTCAGGATGTGGTTCTTAAAGTTCCCCCACCACACAGACCAGAAGGAAGTGGGATATGGCGAAATGCATAACTTAAGAATGTATCTAACCAAGAGGGGCTAAGTGGTCACTGAGCCCGCCCCTTCTGACTTCACCTCCAGGGTTGAAAAGCTGGAAGGAGGAAGCAGGGACCACATCAGACCTGATCAGCCTCAGAGAAGATGCTACCCCTCCTGTCCTTGTTGGCCAGTGTCCTACTCTCCGGGGTTGAAGGAGGTAAGTGACCTTCTTACCTAGTCTCAGCTCCACCTTCACCACACAAGTGGTGCGCTTAGTCCACTTGCGACATTTTCATGGTGTTCACTGAGGCTTGTGTGAGCCTTCCTTTCTCAGTCAACTCCCAGAAATTTGCTGAAACCCAGAAGTTTCTCTGAAAATACAGGCACAGAAATCACAGCAAAGGAAATTACTTCCACGAGACCTGGGGTGTCAGCTCCTTCCATGACTCTCAATCCTGTCACCTGAACAGGGCCTTATATTTAGGATGAGGCAGGATTCAGGGGAGGGGAGAGCTGGAGTTGATGTCCATAATGTCTATTCTGCACACCTAAGACAGGCTATGGCAGGAGCTGTCCTAATAACCAAGAATAAAGGAGTTTTCTTACACTCAGGATCTGATTGTCACCTTCTCCCTGTCTCCACTATCTGGCTATGCAAATCCAGAGGAAAACTCAGACACTAAATGAGCCATGGCATGTGGCCTCACCATGCTCCCAAGGCCTAATGGACACTGACTCCCACCAGGCTCACTCCCACTCCATCCCCATCCCAATCTGATTTTCAAACTTGTCTAATCTTCCCCATCGATCATCTAGTCAATTTCTAAAAAGACAAATCTGTTCTGGGAATCAAATTGCATTAGCACCACTCCTCTCTGCTGCTGACAGAAGAATTGGAGTATTCATTGTGTGCCCAGAGCCTTTTTGGGGTACTTACCACGCGGTTGACTCAGGATGAGGAAAATGAGCCCTGAGTTTTCCACTGCACAGAATTCAATTTTTCAGGTCTGAGACTAGGCCAAGCCTGGAGTAGGCAGGACACAGTTTGGCTGAGAAGTGTGTGACAAAGAATCACACAAGCTAGGTCAAAGCAATTAATTTCAGGTCATGAAGACATCTATCCCGAGCACACATCCTTCCCCGGGACATGTGTTTGAGGGTTTGATACTCAGTCGGGCAGAGCTCCCCGCTCCACAGAGGAACTGAGAACCAGGCGAGGAAACATCCCCATGTCCCCATGAGCACAGGAGGCCCGAGTCCATATCCCATGGTGTTGGGTCCTTGAAGACCACGACAGCCCACCCCAGCCTGGGTCATCTCATCCATTGTATCAGCCTGCAAGGCAAAGCCTGAATCTTTTTTCTATGAACAAAGAGATCCAGGGAAGTTTCCCTTTCAGGAGAGATCTACTGGGGCAGAGGCCAAACCACACTCCCGGCCCTACATGGCACTTGTACATTTCTATAGTGACAAAGACGGTAATTTGCACAGATGTGGGGGTTTCCTGGTACAAGACAACTTCGTGTTGACAGCAGCTCACTGCAAAGGAAGGTGAGAACAAATGGGGCCTTGTTTCCTGGGACCCCGTACACGCCCCAGGCCATTCAGGAAGGTTCCTGAGCACACAGAGGAGCCCGGTGACCCGCGTGGCTGGGCAGAGGCAGTGTGGGGTTCCTGGAGCATCGGGGGGAAATTCCCAGCCCGAAGGCCCATCAAGGCTTGGGTCACCCCTGCACAGCAAAGAAGGGGGACACCCACCCTCCCCTCCTTCCAATCTACTCAGCTGGGGGTCTAGAGGTTGTGCTTCAACCTGCCCTCCAGAGACGGTGCTGAAGCTCCCGACTTCACATCCTCCTTGTTTTACAGCAAAATGACTGTCATGCTGGGAGCTCACAACATCAAAAAGAAGGAAAACACCCAGCAGGTCATCCCTGTGATCCAAACCTTCCCCCACCAGGACTATGATGCTAAGAAACATATCAATGACATCATGCTGTTGAAGGTACTGTCTTGCTGACTTTCAGGGTCAACTGACAAGTTACAGCAGCGAGCACCTCACCATGGGTATGAATTCCCAACCTCCCTCCAACAGGATGCTCGTCCTGGGTCAGTGAACAGAAGGAGGCTGGGGAGAGACTCTCGTGGGGGTTACAGGAGGGCAGTGGGTACAGGCAGCCTCCCCACAGGCCTGGGCCCAGTGTAAGACAGGACATGAAATGCCCCCATCTCTCCTTTCTGACCAGCTGGAATCCAAGGCCCAGCTCACCAAGGCTGTGAAGACCATTGCCCTGCCACATCCTCAGGACGTGGTGAAACCCGGGCAGGTGTGCAGCGTGGCGGGCTGGGGAAAAACGGCTGAAGGCAAGCTTTCAAACACACTTCAGGAGGTGGATCTACAAGTGCAGAGGGAACAGAAATGCAAGGATCTCTTCAAAAATTACAAAAACTCCATCGAGCTGTGTGTGGGAAACCCTAAGTCCAAGAAGGCCTCTGGAGGTGTAAGGAGACAATCCCTTCCCAGTCTTGCCCCAGGGTGTCTGTGACATTGGGGTGCATGACCAGGCTTCCCCCATATCACAGTGTACAGTGGCCAGGTTCCACGCGTGGGTGGAAGCACGTTCTTCCCAGCACGGGGGCAGGTTCTCCCTCCATCAACCTCTGGGCCTTTTTCCTGGGCCAACAAGAAGGAGCCTGGGCCTGGGCTGAGCTCAGGGGGACACAGCCAGCATTGGCAATGGTGGGGGAAGTCACAAGGTCTGGACGCTGCTTGTCCCACCACAGTCAAGGCCTGGTGTCTGAAGACCATTCAGTCCCTTCCCTGGGACACCTGAGCCCTGAGAGGGAAGCAGAAAGCACTGGGGGGATGACGAACCTGAGAGGAGAGAAGCTAGAGGGCCATGGATGAGACTTGTCACTTTTCTGTCCACAGGGGGACTCTGGGGGCCCATTTGTGTGTAAAGGTGTGGCCCAGGGCATCATCAGCTATGCTTACAAGCATCCTGAGGTCCTTCCCCGGGTCTTCACCAGGATCTCCAGCTTCGTGCCCTGGATCCACAGAACAATGAAATTCTCGCAGGATAACTAGACCACTGCCACCTGTTCGTGGTCTCCATCTGAACTTATGTGGGGGTGACTGACTCTGAATAAACACCATTGCCCAGTGAGAGTATTTGTGTTCTCTCTGTCTGTTGAATGAAATCAGCCATGTACCGGGTCATTTTCCCCATCTTCTCCTGTCCTCCCATCAACCCCTACCCTCTGCCACCACATGCCACCAGCTCCCACCTGTGCCTCTCCAGCCCATCCACAGCAGCACAGGTGGCCCCTCTGCCTGGCCACAAGGAGGGACTGTCTTCCAACAGAACAATGGAACTCACTTCCCAGAGACCCTCAGGGAGGCCTTGGCTCCTTCCTGGATCCCAGCCCAACCCCCAAAGCAGAGGACTGGGAGGAAGCATTTGTGCCCCACTTCCCACACCTGATGTAGGCTGGATCCCAGCAGCCCCACCTCTCCCTGAGCCCCCTCCTTGGTCTCCTTGTCGCTACACCTCAATGGGTCGTCTACTCTGGACTCTGTCGCCGCCAGGTCCTGTCTGCCAGCAACCCCCTGTGTTTGCAGCAGGGCCTTGAGGAGGACCAGGTTGTAACCACCTAATCCTCATGGCACCTGTGACAAGGTGACAGATGGTCTCCCACCTTAGACACACCTCCCACTGGAGAAGGGTTACTCAGCCCTTGTCCACCAGCTGCCCCACAGCCTTTGCTAGAGCTAAGTCAGCTGCCAGCTACTCGCCTATTAGCTTCATGTCTTCATGTCCCTCTTGGAAGTATCTTGCCAGCTGATATCTTGAATAAGGGCCATGTCTGTTCCATATGAGATAGCCATTTTTATTTGCTTAAGACATCTCCATAGCATTTCCCATTTTGAGGCTGCGCCAACTTGCATTCCCACCAGCAGTGATATGAGTCATTCTCACAGGGGTGAGGGGGTATCTCATTGTGGTTTTGATTTGCATTTCCCTTTCATTGATAATAAGTGGTATTGAACAAATTTTCACATGTCTGCAGGGCCTATGAAATCCTTCTTTAGAAAAATATCTATTTAGGCTGCTGCCCCATTTTTTGATTGTGTTGTCTGCTTTTTTCATTCTTGGATTATTTAAGTACTTTGTATATTTTGGAAATTAGCCCCTCATCACATATGTGATGTGCAAATATTTTTCCCTATAGGTTGCTTATTTTTTGTGTATGATGGTTTTGTTACAGGGCAGGGAGAGGAGCACCCCCCACCACATCAACACAAAACATATGATACTTTAATGAAAAGGACTTTAATACAATTAGGAAACAATACAGGAAAGGCAAAGAATATAGTTTCTAAATCAAGCACCCAAAGTTACCTGTCTCCTCATGGGTAAAAGTTCACCCAAGCAGGACTGGCCCAGAGCAAGGCCCCAAAGACTGCCACAAGTCTAAAGCATCTTCCAGTGGGGACCCACAGAAGAGGATCAGAAACAACCAGACAAGTCTGGGTGGAAAAGAGCAAAATCAAAATCAAGATAAAAGCTGCTATTGTCACCTCCCCATGAGTCTCACCCACATCTGTGTCACCCAGTCCACCACCAAAAGGCAAGAGCACTTTCTTCACGTGACTCCTGACACCATGTGCCTCCTCTTGGTCTCCTTCTGGCTCTCCATCCTGCTTCCTTCCTTCCTCAGTCTCCTCTGCAGCTTATTCTTCTCCATGCTCAGCTTCACTCTCCTTTTGGGTGGTGCAGGACAACTGGAACCTCCCCCTATTTGGGAAACAACTCTGTTACAGTTTCTTTTTTCCTTTTTTTCTTTTTTTTTTAAATAATAAATTTTATTTTTATATTCCCCCATACAATTGCAAAAGCCCCATTCTGACCCCAATCCTTCCCTTCCCGCCCCCCACCCCCCAAAAAGTGTCTCTGGTTCATAGTTTTTTGTTGATTTTGATTTTCACTTTCTTATATTCATTTTCCTGGTCCCTTATTTACGTTTTCTAGATTCCTGCTATGAGTGAGACCATCCGGTATTTTTCTTTTTCTTTTTGGCTTATTTCACTGAGCATGATCCCTTCCAGCGCCATCCATGTTGCTGCAAATTGCGTGTGTTTATCTTTTTTGAAGGCTGAGTAATATTCCATGGTATATATGTACCACATCTTCTTGATCCAGTCATCTATTTTTGGGCATTTGGGTTGTTTCCAAAGCTTAGCTATTGTAAACAGTGCTGCTATAAACATAGGGGTGCAGGTGTTCTTTGGAATTGATGTTTCTGTGTCCTTTGGGTAAATACCTAGGAGTGGAATTGCTGGATCATATGGAAGCTCTATGTTTAGTAGGTCCAGAAATCTCCACACAGCTCTCCATAGTGGTTGGACCAGTTTGCATTCCCACCAGCAGTGCAGAAGAGTTCCTTTTTCTCCACACCCTCGCCAACATTTGTTGTTGCTAGTTTTTTTAATATGTGCCATTCTCACTGGTGTGAGATGGTATCTCATGGTAGTTTTGATTTGCATTTCCCTGATTACAAGTGATGTTGAACATTTTTTCATATGTCTGTTGGCCATTTGCATTTCCTCTTCAGAGAAGTTTCTTTTTAGCTCTTCTGCCCATTTTTTGACTGGATTATTTTCTTTGTTGTTGCTGAGTCTCATCAGCTCTTTGCAGATTTTTGTGATCAGTCCTTTATCATTAGTGTTGGGTGCAAAAATGTTCTCCCAGTTGGTGGGGTTTCTTTTTGTTTTTGTTATTGTCTCTTTTGCTGTGCAGAAGCTCTTTAATTTGATGTAGTCCCAGCTGTTTATGTTACAGTTTCTTTTGAGGTACAAAAGCCTTTCAGTTTAATGTAATCCCACTTGTTTATTTTTACTTTTGTTTCCCTTCAGAGTTGTATGATAGCCTGCTGACCCAGGAAGCGTCACTCAGACCCCTACCATGGAAAAAGCAGCTGGTGATAAACACAAAAGATAAGCTTGTAATCAGCACACTAGGGTTAAATTCGAGGTAGTGGAGGATGGGCCTCAAGGATGGGCCCACCTGACCCACAACGGGATGATAAAGGTCTCAGCAGCACACAGTCAGCAGGAGAAACTGCTCCAGTAAGACCGTTTTACCTAGAGATACAATCCAGAGAAGTTAGTCAAACTCACAGGAAGAAGGCCCTAAAGGCTGTGAGGAACTTGGGGAAATGCTAAAGAGCCTGCTCCTCCCAATATAATATGCATCTTTAGATCTTTAGGAGCAGGGAAGGCCAAGACTCTGTTGCCAGGCCATCTCAAAGCCACCTTTGTTGAGCCCCAGGTCTAAAACCTCATTGGAAAATATCACTTCTACCAACTCATGTCCTAGTACTATACCCTCCCCTGCGAACCTGCAAGCTGTCTCTCCTGCATCCCCAGTTTCTCTGGCAATTTTTACATTCATATCGTCCTGCGCCACATAGGGGTTTGGCATGTGTGTGTACTGAAGCAGTTGTTATGGCTGCACTATGTCCCTGCCAAATAAATGTATTGACATCCTAATTCTCAGCACCTCAGAATGTGATCTTAATGGAAAATAAAGTCATTACAGATGTAATTAATTAAGTCATACTGGACTCAAGTGGGCCTTATTCCAACACAGCTGGCATGCTGATGAGGAGAGACTCAGGTGCTGGGGGAAGGCCAATGAAGGCAGGGGAGGCGCATGAGGTCGCTAAAGTCAAGGGTCACCAGCAGTCACTGGGAGCTCAGGGAGAGGCTGGGATAGACCCTTCCACACGGCCCGCAGATGGAACCAGCCCTGCAGCCACCTTGATCTCAGACTTCCTGCCTCCAGACCTGAAAAAATTAATTTCTGTTGTTTTAAGCCACTGCCTTGGAATATTTTGCTAACTAACTCTAGGAAGCTAATACAGGGGTTCAAGCAGAGTTTTAGGGGTTTGGGGTTTTGTCCAAAAAGCACCATATCTTTTCATAAATATTTTATGTTAACAGTGGGGTTTGCCATTCATACATACCAAGGGAAGAATCTGTGATGAGTAGGATAAAAAGACCATTAAAACGACATTTACAGTTGTATAATAACGTTATCTCAATAAAAAAAAGATATAATTGTTTAAGAACATATATTTAATTTTAAAGATTTATTTTAATTAATTTATGCATGTAAGAAAGGGGCTGTTATCCAGAGGTGCAGAAGATGAGAGGATTTACCGGAGACAGAATGGGGAGCAGAACAAGCTGTTCCAAAGCTGAGGGGAGGAGGGGGTGTAGGGTAAAGAAAATATCAGGCTTTTCTGCCCTCCCGCCATCAGGATAGATGATGGATCCTTGTCCTGAATGCATGCCTGATGGCGGGCACCTGGAATAGGGTGTGGGCATAGGTAGATGGGATTCAGCTGAGCTGAGACTGTGCTTTTAAGGGCAGCGTCACGGGGGGACGCCAGCAGCAGAAGCAGCAGCAGCAGCAGCAGCAGCAGCAGAAGAAGCCGAAGCCGAAGCCGAGAAGCAGCAGAACGAACGCTAGAGAGCCCAGATAGAGTGAAGATTTGTTGGGGGCTGGGAGGCTCCCAGCCCCCCAGCCAGCACCCCTGCCTGCCATATGCCTGGTGAACCCCAAACAAAAAACCTGCAAAACCACTGAGGACTCTGACTCCTCCTTTACCCGGTCTGCATGGGATCAGGAAACCTGCACTGTGCCCAGTTCCTGCCTTTACAATTGGCGTAAGTCGGCAAGATCCATGTAGACGGGTATGGAGCCCTCCGAAGACCTGGAGGGACTAAGGAGAACAGACTGTTTGCCTGTGATGACGCTGGAGGCGCCATGGCGGCGCAGAAGGTGGATACGGTCCGGAGTTGTGGGACGAGACCTCGCATGGAGGAGACGCCTGAGAGGACCAGGCAACGACAATGGAAAGGGCCAGCCAATGACCCCTGAGGCAGCAGGCCATTGCTGAAGCAGGGAGAGGCCAATGGACTTGGACTGGTGGACTGACAGTCCCGTCAAAAGGCGGAGGACCTTGCAGGTTGATATGTTTTGGGACCCTGGGGGTGGAACAGTTTTGTTTGTAAACCCCAGGAGATGGGAATCTGGGGGTGGCCAGTGGGCCTA